CGGGGAGGGGGGAGAAAGACATTTAAAGCAGTTTCTGAGAGTCTATCATACTAATCACAAAACAGTAGTAGATCCATTAGGGTTATGAGAACCATCTTTACCCATAAAGCAGCAGAATATTAAACAAATCACTCTTGAATAGAATAAACTATCTTATAAATACAACATGCTTACAGCTTCTCACAGTAGCCATTAATTAAAATGTATAAAATGTATGCATCTTACCCTGTGAAACAAATTCAACATCATCATAATTTTCTTCATTTTCTAGGTTTCTGTAAGTATGAAAAGGTAAACATGTGAAACCTATGAAGACGATTTTATGATTATATTTTCATTAACCATTTTTCTGGTGCTTTTTATTATCTATTTTATACAAAGGCAGAACAGTCTATTGAGCCCTATATCCTACTTAAGTACATACAAGATTTTCTAAATTGTTCTCTCTGACTGTGACTCAGTGTTTCAGGTGGGGCCTTGATGCACCTTGATCTTGATGCAGAGTAAAAAATATCAAAGTGAGTCAAAGGCACTCACAGAGAGTGTGGTATGAAAAATATCATAAACAGACAGGCCAACTGAATGGAAAGAATCTGTTGGACTTCTTAACCATTTTTGCAGGTGCAGTCTTCTTACAGTGCAAAAGTACAATGTCACACTTTTTCTCAATGCTAAATATAGCTCTGAGACTTTGACTCGTTGGGCTTAAAGTCTCAACAAGGGACAAGAGAAATGGTGTAAAGGTTAGGCCAGGTAAAATGTCACCAGAGCTCTTAGATTTAAAATGTTGTCCAAATGAGAGAAACAGGAAATTGAATTGAGAATATGACTAATACTATCAGGGGACTTTTAACTTTATAACATTTTGTTACAGCAGCAAGAAAACAAGGGCTGACAGTTATCATCAAAGTGTAATCAAAAAAGGACTTGAAAGCACAACGGGATGTTCTGAAACTGGATGGGGAAAGCATGGTTACAAAGCAGGTGAAAGCAAAGGTTACAGCACCCAGGCAAAAATTTTCAGCAGAGAGGAGAATTTACAGGGCACACAGGAATGGGAGAGCAGACAGGGCATCTGGAGGTACATTTCAGAAGTGTCTGATGTCAAACTTGGCCCCTGTGCCTGGATAAAGAGGAGGATACCCAGCATGGCAGCTGCAGGTACTGTGGCTGAGAGGCAGGACTGATGCAGCCACAGAGTGCTGAGCTGGACACGCCTCCCTGGCTCTCCCTGCCTGCTGTTTGATGCTCTTTGCAGTACCTGCTGGCCAGAAAGCAGCTCATTATTCAGGCTCAGCTTGATTCTGGTCAGTTTTGATGCTGGACTCAAGTACTTATAAATCTGTCAGCAGAGGTTCTGCTTCTGTAGGCAGCTCTTCAAAGAAGGATAAAGAAAGGAGCCCCATATCAAGAGAGGCTTCTCAGGGTTATTACACAAGGCCACGACACGGCCTCGGTGCAGTTTCACAACCAGTGCTGAGCTCAGTTCCTCCAGCTTGCAAAGCTGCTTCCTGGGGTATTGGCTCATAGACCTGACCCTCCTCGCCCTCTCTGCCTAGAAAAATTCAGGGAAAACCTTCAGCTATTGGGGCAACTGATTTTCTATCAGTGTTTAAAGTTTTTGGATTGTTCTGGAGTAAAAAACCAGTCTGTTGCCTTCCCCCTATCCTCACCAGCAAAGGACAAAAAAGTTATACATAAGACAATTCAGGGAAACAACCAAATAGATGGAGGGTACAAACTAATATAAAAAGCTAATTCTAAACAGGCCAGGTGCAGGGTGGGATAAGGAATGTAATGTGAGACACCCCTCTCTCAGAAACCTGGAACTCATGTAGCCTTTGCCTGCTGTGCCAGGAGGAAAGTGGTAGGCAGAGAAAGGTGAGAAAATAAAGATCTTGTGGCTTATGTTCACTCACATTGTTTCAGAGCTGGTTTTGATGTTTCTGGGAGGCAGACTGGGAGCTGCTGGCACCTGCAGGGATGGGTGAAAGGCTGGCGGAGGAGGCGGCACGGCAGTGTGTGATGGAGGTATCGGTGGGGCAAGTGCTGCTGAGGAAGATGTTTTCTGTTTCAAACCTTTATTTTTCGGACCTGAAATATAGCAGAACAGACTGAATTTATCAAGCAAACATCTGAGGAAGGAACTTTGCTGTGTTTGATGAAGTTTTCAGGTAAGCTATCAGTACTGCACGCACCCCAGGGAAAGTATATTTTGTTGAACCTGCTCTTAGATATTTTTGTTGCATTATCTTATCACACTAGAGGAGACTCTGCGTTCAAGAATGTTCTCCCTGTACAAGGACACAAAAATGCCTTTGCCAAGACATGAACTAGACACAAAAACAGCACAGTTCATCCAATATATTAATACCTGTGTTTCAAAACGAAATTATCATTTAATTCCACAATTTTTGATTAAAAAGACCAGCTGCAGAATTTCATATGAGCACTGATGTAGTCTTGCTGAGTTTTTTGTGCTCAAAGAAAGAGCTTTAAGGGAAGAAATGAGAAACATAACCATATTTTGGCCTTTATAAAGAGAGGTACAGGTTTCTGAACATCTTCAAATACATTTTTAATATAAGTTGCAAAATTCTGGACTTTTCTAGCAAGCTCAGATTAGAAAAGTGGCAGTCTGCAAAGCTGCACAGAAGCTACACCCTCAACAGACAGGTATAGCCTCAAAAACTGATGGTGCCCTGCACCAGGCACGGAAGCCACAACTAGATGAGTGAGCTGGTATGCATGTGTGCTGCACTGAATTCATGCTCCCTGCACAAGCCACAACCAAACAATAGCAACCACTGCTCTGAGGGTTGGTTTTGAGAGAAATTATTCTACACAAGCAAATTAAGTCAGAGTTTGGATGCCATGATATTTTTGAAGTTTTTGTTTGTTTGTTTGTTTTTTAAGTATCATCAGTGGATTAAAATCTACCAAAAAAGAACTGTCCCCAGCTGCATGGAGACAAATCCAGGAAAATCCAAGGAAAAGCAGAACAGTGGGAAAAAACAAATTCAGATTTCTGTTAAAATCAATTACAGCTGAGAAGAAACCCATTGTCTTCTGGAGAATTTAAGTTCACACCTGTGAGAGATTAAAATCTTTTCAAGTAAAGGAAATGATAACCTCGCTGAAAAAAAAAGGGGCTCAAAACACAGAAAAACAACAAATATTTACTAGTTTAATGGCAAGACTGAAAATTGTAAGAAGCTAGTGGAAGAGCTTTTTTAGTTTATTGGGTGTCTGGAATTCTGTCCTTGTGAAAGACAAGAAAAGGGGAGTTGGTAACTTTAGCATAGAGCTTTACATATTGCACATGGAAATCAAAGTGAAATTATCAAACCTTGGCAATTTTTCTCCTTACTACCACACAACTCAAAAAATTATGGATACATATGTCTTCATGGATGCTTAGACCAACTTGTCAACATACATGTGAATAGTGGTGCATTTTAAACCTGTTAAATTCCTCCATTACTTAAATGGCAAAATAGTGATAGCCCCAAAATGGATGATCATACAAGTGAATTCTTTTGTGGTTTGTGCATTAAGGAACATGCATATTACAAAAGAAGACTCATACCATTTAAGATATGTCAAGATTAAATTTGTACCACTTTTCTTTTAAACATTTTATTAAAAAATATAGTCCAAAAGTCAAGTGAAATAATCCTTTCTCTTAGTACTGAGGAGGCTACAGCAGGGTCAATGTGTGCCAGCTGGAGAGTACCCAGTAGTGGAGAATAGGGAGAATGAGGTCCAGAAAACACAAAATCCTGAATATATCAAACAAATGGTGGTGGTTTAGGGAAATGTGGTAAGATTGGGGTAGGACAAAATTAATACCTAAGTCTCTGGTAGTGAAGAAAGGGATAATTTATATTTTTCCCCCTTCTTTTCCATAGTGAAGAGGCAATAAGTAAGATGCTTAAAGCCAAGCAACAATTGCTAGGAGGCACTTTCTACCAGTGAAAGTGGAGTTTTCATGCTTTGAGGTATCTATGTCGAAGAAGTAGGATAAATTTATGGCATGAATAAGTTCTAGTACAGTTGTTCTTACGCTGTACATTGGGATGGACATCAACATAGTGACAAACCACTTCTTTATATCCCTTCCAATTCAATGCTGACATCCTTTCATTGCTGTCCTGTGTATTACATCACACTTGAAATATTTGCTGCTATATTGAGATCAACAGCTGGAGCTATACTAAAATAGCATTTTGGCTAAAATGTATCTTTCAGTTGTTTGAGGGGTGTTGACAAGAGAAAGAATGCTACAGAGTTTTTGGGGTGGTACTTGTTTAAGTTTGCTTACTATTAGAATCTGAATCTTACTGTTTTCTAAGTTCCTCAGGCTTCACATTCTATTACTTTTATTTTTACCTTTGCACACAGGGTCAAAAGCCTTTTTATCACCACTATTTTATACCCAAAAGGTATTGACACCACTGGAATTATTACATAACTCAGATGTCTTTTCAGTGACTTTAAAAGACTCAACGTTTTAAATTTCAATCAAGGGTGCTTTTTTTTTTTTTTCTTTTTTCTTCCTTATGTAGCAATTATTTCATAGATATTTCTGTTATCTCTCCAACCTTTCCAGCACTGTAGAAAATCTGGCACTGGAATTCTACAGAGCATGCACTTGTCTACCACATGTAGCGATGAAAATTGCAAGTCATTCTTCATCTGGTCATATCTCTACTGATTGCATCCAGGGGGTTTCAGTATTTTTTCCAATTGTCATCTCTCCTCCTGTTTTGGAAGTGCAGACTCCTGACTATTAAACTAATGCCCATTAGCAAAAATCTTTTATTCAAAAACTTTGTGACTATATGAAAATTCTTTAAGGATAAAACTCCAAGAATTTAGAGTTACAAGCTGATAACCCTTATGCATTATACTCTTGTGTCTCATTATAATCCTTACCCAATTGTAGAACTGCTTATAGCTTGATTTTTTCCTCCAAATCATTACACAAACTTGTTTCACATGTATGGTTTACATTTCTTCATTATAGACGTACAATTGCATTTGAATGAAAGCAAACTTTGCTTAAATGAGCCAAGGTTACACATGACTGTGCTCTTGTTGTGTCTGAATATTTGCAGACTCTGTCTTAGCATTAAATTCTTCACAGTCTTTATTCATCTGTAGACTACAATTTCTCATTGCCCTAAAACTTCTTATGAAGATGAATACCACTGACATGTATCTCCAGATAAATTCTAGATTTCTAATCAAATAAAACAACCAGAAAGGAGTCTGTTTTTTGGTTTGTTTGGGTTTTGTTTTGTTTTGTTTTGTTTTGTTTTGTTTTGTTTTCCTGAAAGCCATGTTAATTGATATTAATAATACTCTCAAATTTATTTTTGTGTTTTAATAGGGAATTCTATATCAGTTTTTCTGTGGTTAAATTTACGTTGTCCTAACAGAGTGTTGTGTACGTGCACAACATGCATATGAACTTTTTGCATTCATATTTTATTACTTCTTGTGATAAGTCCTTTGTAGGACTAAGGTAAAAATTCTTCCCAGGTCTCCGTGCATAATACTTCTTTCATCTGATGTCTCTTGAGAGCCAAATACAGGCAATAGGAAAGTGAGCCAGGAAAGGACACCACATGCATTTTAGATTAAGTGCTTATTTTTAAGTATAAAGGCTGAACAACCTGTCCTTTTTAATTTTTGTAGTTTGTTATAATCTAACAGTAACTAAATGAGCATCATATTAATGGAAATGCTGCTTTTTTAGTTTCTAACTATTATAACTGACTCTTCTCTGACTTTAGAGTTTTGATTAGCTTAATTAGTTACACTTATGACAAGACTGATGTAGGTATAAAATACTTTCATTCTAATACCAGAAATAGCGAATAGTGGAATGATTTAGGTAGGAAAGTGACATGCTGAAAAGCTGTTTGGAAAAAAAAAAGGCGCAATAATCAGGCCTGCTGAGCCAAACCTATCATAACATTCAATAGTGGGTTATAATGGAGTAATGGAGCATTTAATTTTTACTCCAGTTCCTTTTTTTTTTTTTTTTTTTTTTTTTTTTTTTTTATCAAAATCTGGGACACTTGGTACTATAAAACCATGGAAAAGCTCTGTGGAGGTAGTGGAACAGCAGTAAGCAGCAGACACAGATCAAGAAATTAAACTGAAAGTACATTGTGGCTTCACATGCACCTAAAGCACTCTCATCACAGTAAACAGTGTTAAGGGCAGTCACTGTGTGACAGTTTGACAGCTAACACCTCGATTTCCAAATAGCCTGTCCTCTCAGGACTCTCAGCTTTTTCACATGTGGTTCTGCACTGAATATACAGGGGCAGAAATGGAAGGTCTTCAAATAGAAAAAAAAGAACAGAAGAAAAGGCACTGCAGCTGTATAGAGAAACCTGACATAAAAACTGTCCACAGAATGTCCCAAATATTTCATTATACTGCTGCTTGTGGCATTAAATTTTTTTTTAATAATGCCCAGATCCTCAGCACTTACAGTACAACTATGCACAGAACACTGTAAAAATCTATCTTGTGTTCTTGGAGAACCTTCTCAAACAGTTTTCATATGGGCACTGGCCAAAAGGTCACTTACATTCTTGGGAATGTTTGTTCATTGGGAAGTGAAGGACACTGAAGTTGTCTTGATGCAATACTTGTGACTTTGACCCTTGCCATTCTCGGCTTGTGAAAGGGAAACACTGATACATCTTTGGCAGCCAGTATGACATCTAGAGAAAGATCCCACCTTCACTTCATGTCCAGACATTCTGTGTTCAACAGCAGAAAAAATCAACCTGCATAAAACAGCATAATTTCTATGCCTCTCACATGTGAACTCAAAGAGAAATTAGAAGTCCAGCTCTTTTGGAACTTGTGAATTCTATGTGGGCAAAAGCATTCAGGACAGAATGAGAAAAGGCCATTCTTTCTCTCTTACAACCTTCAGTGCTGTCCGGAGATACTTCATCTCTCTGTCCTGAGATGCTTATACCATAAATATGTGGCAAAATGAAGGGAAGTCCTAGCACTGCCTGAAGTCTGTAATGGAGTACACCTGGAACATGCATTACTTGGTG